GGTGAACTGAATTTTGTTAGTGTTTTTTTATTGTTTTCTTAATAACAAAGTATTATGTAGCCCAGGCTAGCCTCAGACTCACTATGTAGTGGAGGATGACCTGATTCTCCTGCCTCACTGCCCAAGTGCTGAGAATACAGGTGTGACCACCACAACCAGTTTATGCATTGCTGTAGGCTGAACCTAACTTTGTTCATGTAAAGCAAGCACTCTACCAACTGAGCCACATTTCCAGCCCTTATTAGTGATACTACCTGGCATGTTTTTACACAACTATGTGGAATTGACAGCTGTGCAATCCTTCCTTTGGAGGGGTGGTGGGCAGTTGGGAGCATTAGACATCCAACTTCCGCCTATTTCTCCCCAGCCTCTGTGTCCAGATGTTTGACTGGTTTGACTACCATGGCCACATGTGTATCTCCTTTGAGCTTCTGGGCCTTAGCACCTTCGATTTCCTCAAAGACAACAACTACCTGCCCTACCCTATCCACCAAGTGCGCCACATGGCCTTCCAGCTGTGCCAGGCCGTCAAGTGTGAGTGGGGTGGGCTGAAGTGGATTCTGGGACAGCCCCTTTCTCCATTGGACATCTGTTTACTTGTGCAGTGTGCAAACCCTAGCTTGTCATTTTCCTGTAGACCTGTTGTTGTCATCTTGGCATCTCCTCTTCTGACTTTAACTCCTTGACTGATGTCTTCATCACTGATTGCTCTTACACCACAGCACTTAATTACCTTTGTTCTCATCCCTGGTTTTCTTGGGAAGGTGTTAGACAGCAAGCACAAAGGGACAAAAGTACTGTCTAGAGGCTTATATTTGTCCAATGAGGTGCTCTCCATTTACACAAAGGAAACAGGAGAGCATGGAATAGTTTGACTAAGACACCAGTTATAAAATCCAGAGTAGTAGTTAGTTCCTCTGAATCTTCACAACAATTAACTTTGAATGAATTGAGTTTGCAGAATATCAAACATACATATAAGTCGCACTACTGTTTTCCAGCAGTTGAACATCATTGAGGATAGCACTTCTTAGAGCAGGCATTTCATTTAGTCATAGAACAGAAAGCAGCTCCAGTGATTCTGAGCCTGTCTCGTCGCCAGCTTTGCTCTGGGTACTCAGTACAGGCTCAGCTGGTGCCAGTTAGCTCTGGCCACCTGGATCATCTCTGACCTACAGCCTTCTCCCCTGCAGTCCTCCATGATAACAAGTTGACACATACGGACCTCAAACCTGAAAATATTCTATTTGTGAATTCAGACTACGAGCTCACCTACAACCTAGAGAAGGTAAGGATTAACATAGAGTCTGCCCCTTAGTCCATGGTAGGCAGGGCCACTTGACTTTTGCCTTTTTTTTTTGGTCTTTTTGAGACAGGTCTCCCTGTAGCCCCAGCTGGCCTGGGACTCTGATATGTAGACCAGGCTGGCCTTGAACTCAGAGATTTGCCTGCTTCCTGAGATCTGTGGTTAAAACATGCACCACCACAGCTGGCTGGCTTTTACTTAATTTTATGTCCTCCCTTTTACAAATTTTTCCCTGTCTGGCACCAGCTGGGTAAAACTATAGTGCTAGAATATATTGAAAGAAAAAGATTTTCTTTTTTTTTTTTTTTATTTTATATCTGTGAGTATATTGCCTGCATGTATGTAAGTACACCTGATTCCCCTGGAACTAGAGTTAACAGATGGTTATTAGCTGCCATGTGGGTGCTGGGAATCGAACCCAGGTCCTCTGCAAGAGCAGCAAGTGATCTTAACCACTGAGCCATCTCTTCAACCCTGAAAGGAAAAGATTTAAGGCTTGGAAGTGAATGTGGGAAAAGTTTTCTAGTAGTGTGAAGATGTCCCCTCAATTTTTTAGGTGTGTATTTCTGTATGATAGGAAAACTCACTCCACTTGTCTACAGGAGATGGCAGAGGTGCTAAAGGTGCTGTCCATCTCTTGACTTCTTTGTTAACATGTTTTATACATTGCACGAGACATGTGGGTATAGTTTTCAAATACTTAAGAGACTTCTGTACTACTCCATAATCATTCCTTAGTCCTCTTCCTTCCCTAGTTTTAAAAGTACTACTGTGAGAGCCAGGTGTGGTGGTACATGCCTGTAATCCTAACACTTGGGAGGCTCTAAGGCAGGAGGATTGCTGCAAGTTCAAAGCTTGTCTGGGATACATAGTGAAATCCCATTAAATAAGTACACCCCCCCCCCAAAAAAAAAAGCCCCAAGACAAAAACCTGTGACCCAGATTTTCCTGGGTGTATGGGAGCAGCTGCATTTTTTAAGACTCAGAAGCACCTTAGTCTGTTAATCTCAGTCTATGACAGAGGTTCATTGCCTTACTGCTTTGCTCCTAGAAGCGAGATGAGCGCAGTGTGAAGAGCACAGCTGTGCGAGTGGTAGACTTTGGCAGTGCCACTTTTGACCATGAACACCACAGCACCATTGTCTCTACTCGCCATTACCGAGCACCAGAGGTCATCCTTGGTAAGGGAGCTCAGGGCTGCCCAGTGTGTGAGGTAATGTGAGAGTAGTGTATCCTAAGCGCCATAATGCCTTATCCTCGAATTACTATGCAGAGTTGGGCTGGTCACAGCCATGTGATGTGTGGAGCATAGGCTGTATCATCTTTGAGTACTACGTTGGCTTCACCCTTTTCCAGGTAAGTAGTGGGGGTATTTCTTGACCACCTGGAATTCTGCTTGATGTGTCTGCTGAGGACATACCTACCCATTCTTATACATTGCCATCTGGCAGCTAGTCCCCTGGCATTCTTTCCTCAGTCCTTCTTAGTTCTCTTTGTTTCCCAGACTCATGACAACAGAGAACATCTAGCCATGATGGAAAGGATCCTGGGTCCTATCCCTTCTCGGATGATCCGAAAGACAAGGTGAACCCTGAGTAGGAGGGACTTTCTTTTATTCCTTTTTTCCACACAGAATTAACTGTTTCACATCATTATTTTTTTTCTTTGACCTCCCTGACCCCCAATTAGTTTGACATGAGTAAACAAAGGGAAGTCTTTGAACAAAGAGGAACCTTCTGATTCATCGACTTCCCCTTCCCCTCTAGAAAACAGAAATATTTTTACCGGGGTCGTCTGGATTGGGATGAGAACACATCAGCTGGGCGCTACGTTCGTGAGAACTGCAAGCCACTGCGGGTGAGCCCAGCCAGGGATAAATACTGTTAACAACCCAGAGGTTGCTTCCTTCTTAGGGTGGTTTACCCCTGGGATGCATTCTGTAAGTGGAGGGTTAGGAAAGGAGGGAGGGAAACTGAAAACAATTTGATCAATAAAGGACAGAAGAAACAGTAGTTTCACTGAAGTTAGATAGCTTAACCTTGAGACAACCAGAGGTCAAAGCAATGTCCTGGATTCTTTAGGTCAGACAGAAAAGAATAAACTACCTTTGAAGAGCTTACATTTTAATGAGGAGCTAAAGAAGAATCATGAAGTTGACAAGGATATACAAGTAAAACTTTCAGAGTATGAAGGAGTAATTGTGCTAGTGGGAAGGTAGGTTGAGCTATAATATCAGAAACATTGGTTGTGGTGTGGTTGTGCTAAGGTAATAGTCAAATTGAATGCAAGCAGAGCCATGGTTCTGCCTCCAAAAACGAAATAAACTACCTTTGAAGAGCTTACATTTTAATGAGGAGCTAAAGAAGAATCATGAAGTTGACAAGGAGCTGGGTGTAGTAGCACAGACCCAAAATCCAGCACTTGGGAGGCTGAGGCAGGAGAATATTGAGGTCAAGGTCAGCTGGGTTACATAAGAGCAGCCTGGGCTACATAGTAAGACCCTGTCTCAAAACAGAAGAAAAGGGTAAAATAAAATAAAAAAAGGTAAAAGTTTTAAGGCATCTGGCCTCACCTTTTTCCTGCCCTCCACCAGCGGTATCTGACCTCAGAGGCAGAGGAACACCACCAGCTCTTCGATCTGATTGAAAGTATGCTAGAGTATGAACCTGCTAAGCGGCTGACCTTAGGTGAAGCCCTTCAGCATCCTTTCTTCGCCTGCCTTCGGACTGAGCCACCCAACACCAAGTTGTGGGACTCCAGTCGGGATATCAGTCGGTGACAATCAGGCCTTGGACCCCCCTGCTTGTATAGCAGTGGGTGTCCAGTCCAGGACACTGGTGCTTTTTTATATAAGAGAACAGAGCCAGAACTCATTATCCTTCCCACCCCCTGGCTCCCTTTATACGTGTGAATATGTAAAATAGTGTAAATATGACAGAACTTGTACGTATTTCTTCAACTGCTGCCCTGTACATAATGCTATTCACACTCCCACCCTCATCTGCCCCCTCATGTGGAGTTGGATTGGGGGGGCAGAGTGAGGTAACCAGGTGGTGTCTACCCCATGTTTTATAAGGAATTTTGTACAGTCTTTGTGAAATAAACTGACATGCTTCATCTGAGCCCCCATCCCTGGAATTTGAGGTTTGAGGGTACTGGGATAAAGGGGTGATGTGATTGGCAGCCATTCTGAGTGCGTGTGAGTGGAGACTTTAACCCCACCAAATTAGAGCCACACTACCAGTTTATATGCACGTTTTGTTGGGGAGGGGTAGTAAAGGGCAGGAGTGTAGATAAGCTACAACTTGAGATCTGGAATAGTGTGTTTTGGAGAGTTGTGTTCCTTAGCCATGAAACTGCCCCCTTGGATAGGGCTAGAAAACCAGGTTTTTAAAAACAACTCGGTCGAATTTGGCCGCCTGAGAGTCACCACTACGCCGAGCAGAATTATCCCATAATACATTTCGAGAAGTCAAGACAGCCACGCTTCTTTGGTGAGGCCACCTGGGTTATGTAGTTCATGAATAGGGCGAAGTCACGTGGAGGAAGTGCGAAATTAGGCTGCTGAGACCGGATTGGCGATGCCATGTCAGGTACTTCCGTCTTTGGCTTTTTGGGTTGGGTTTTTGCTAAGGCGCAGGCGCAATTTGCTCCTGCTGCGGGAATCTTCCTGACCCTTCCGGTTGTTTCAGCCAATTGGTGCACAGAGAAGCGGGTGGGACTGAGAATCCTGGAGGGAGTGCTGAAGGCTACTGCTGCAGAAGGGGCGTGGGGGGCTGGGGAGTCCCGAGCCATGGCTCAGAGCAGAGACGGCGGGAACCCATTCGCCGAGTCCGGCGAGCTTGACAATCCCTTTCAGGTGACTTGCGCCGGTCTCCTTTGGCCAGTCGGTTCGATTCTTCCCAGTTCAGTAGTATCAGGCCAACTACAGTCCCACTTTTGACGTTTGACCCAGGGAAGTGTCGCTATGTGGGGGTGCCGGTGGCTCCTGACCAGTGAGCACCAGGGGTGGGGCCCTGCCACTGTAAAGAGCTGGTACTAGCCATGTGAGGTAATGGACTTGAAGGTAAATGTTGGGACAACGGCAGGCCTCCGAGGGTGCGGTGCCTGGAGCCATGAGCTGTTTTCATAGAGGCTGCTAGGAGTTCCCTTGGCACTGAGTGCCAGCTGAGCTCAGGTCTCTGTTCTCAGGACCCAGCTGTGATCCAGCACCGACCCAGCCAGCAGTATGCCACCCTTGATGTCTACAACCCTTTTGAGAATCGGGAGGTGAGCTACGGAGAGAGCACGGGAGAACAAGGAAGGGGCGAGTGTGCTTTAAGCCCAGTCTGACCGCGGACGGGGACGCTTTTTCATGCATAAAAAGGATGAAGTGCTGTGTTTTAGCTCCCGAGAGATGCCATGTGGCCTGGGATATATAATGAATTAGAGCAAAGGAGCCATCTGATTTGAGTTCTAAAAGTCAGTCCTGGGAGGACCTGCGATCTGGCAGGACTGAAGCAGAGCTCTGTCTGAGAAGACTTCTTGAAGAGGATCAAGGTTGGGTCTAGTCAGGATTGAGAAGTCTGGTTAGTTAGAAGGCAAGGAATGAGGGAGACTAGTAGAAAATGGTGTGTTTAAGAAGTTAAATGGGCCGGGCGTGGTGGCGCAAGCCTTTAATCCCAGCACTTGGGAGGCAGAGGCAGGCGGATCTCTGTGAGTTCAAGGCCAGCCTGGTCTACATAGTGAGTTCCAGGACAGCTGGAGCTACAGGGAGACCCTGTCTCAAAAAGACCAAAA